TTCGCTCTCTTTTTCTTACAAAAATAAAACGTTATAAAATTATTATTAACAAAGTTTTGCGAAAATTATGGAAAATAATAATATGATTTAAAAGAAACAAAAATATTAATAAAAATAAAAATTGATATTAAATGGCAACTAATATAAAAGTCTAGACTTACATTAAAATTCACTTTTATTTATCTAATTTTATATATACTAATAATTAATATAATTTAATATAATGTTCTACATATATATATATATGAACTTATTAATAGAGAATATATATATATATATAATATAATAATATATATATATATATATATTAATAGTAGATTTAATTAATTAATAAAATTTCAATGAAATTAATGATAATGTAATTAACGATTTTCTTATAAAATAATTATACAGGAAATCTACTTCAAACAATATACAAATAGTTGGAGACATTAGATTCAGCTGATTAAGCTGTATTAGAAAGATATAAATCTATTATAAATTTAAAAGTGGATACGCGGTAATTGTGCCTATGTTTTCATATTAAATTATATATGCTTTATAGTATGTGTATTTTATAATCCATTACTAGAGAATGTGGAATCTATGATAAATTTGTTTTTTATTATTTCATGATCAGTATTCAAACGAATCTGATCATTATATCTTTCGAACAACAATATATTCAATATTTTACATATATATCCTTTTATGTGCTCATATTATTGTCATATGTATATTTGGTTATGTTATAATCATATAAACGGCTCTTAACTTATAATAAATATTTAAAACAAATATTAAATAATAAAATTATTGTGCCAACAGTTTTCTTAATAATAAATTAATAATTAAATTATATAATATTCAAAGATTTAATTAAGATATATTTATAGGTATTTGTTAGATATACGATTCCTCTATTTGACGCATGGAAGTTGAATAAAATATAAACAAATTTATCGATAAAACACTATTCATCTTATACGTTGTACTGAAAAATAAATGTTTAGATTTAACCGTTTGTAATAAAAAAAAAGCTAGAGTAATTGTTATAATTTTTAATTATTTACTTCTTATTTAGTTATTTGTAACATCGTCTCAATCATTAAGCATTCAATATATGTATTATATTGTTGAAACATCATTTTATATAAAACAATGTTACAATCAAGATATTAAAAGCCTTTAAAATTGATATAAAAGTAGGATTTGACTACTTAAACAGATCCGACTCCTGTCCTAAAGACATTAAAATTTTCAATTCCTAAACCAACACATAAATGTTAAATCTAGCACATCTTTATTCAAAAACTATTATTATAATACTTATTTTTCCCTTACCTTCTTTTCAACTTGATACCACAGAATAACAATCGTGACAAGGTCACCGCAAATCTTCACAATCGGCACAAATTTAGTCGTATAAAAGCACGTTGTCTCATCCTTGCCATGAACAGTTGACCATTGTTCGTCAAGTTTCTTTCAATTTTAGTTTATCTTAAATCTATAAATAAAAATCTCTTTTATCGTCAAAAGTGCGCCACGTTTAGATACAAAGATTTTCTAATTTTTCTTATCATACATGTCTATCTCAATTTTGAAATCTATATTCATATTTTGTATGATCGTGGATATTTTGCAATCGCGAATATGTGGTCATGTGATACAAAAAGTACAAGCCATGAGTATAGAGAAAGTGGAGAGACCGATTTTTAATTACCATCGTAATGGAGTACGGATTGACATGAGAATTGTACCCTCTACGAATCAAACATCTCCATTGTTATCAATAGACGATGGCTTTCCCCAATTTCCATTGAGAGAAGTTGGTCGTTGTTTACTTAATTTGTCGTTAACGTGTGTTAATAATCGGGTAGTTCGATTCTTGAATATTATTGGACATCTACACGAAATTACACTTTTCGGACAAACCGTGAAACTCGTGAAATTAAAAGAACTATCAACAGAGAGGCTGGATGAACGGAGAATGCTAGATGACTCCAGTAATAGTATCGATAGAAGTATCGATGATTTTTTTGAAACATTTGCCCTGAGAATTACCTTACCCAAATGGAAAGGAGCTAAGAATCAAATCGATGTAATGATGGATGATAAGGATGCTATTGAAGGTTATAACAATATTTCATAGAACCAATATTTAAATTGAAAATTTTAATATTCATTTTTATAACGTGACCATTCAATGGCTTATAACATTATTTTAATATATATATATATATATATATATATTGGAAGAAAAATTAAAGAAAAATTATTTTTAATATTAAATAAATTTATATTTAAAATTAATTTATAATATTAAATAACATTATGCTATAGCATAGAGAGATATAAATATATTCTTTATGTGATTCATATATAACAAGAGATTTTTATTACACAATTCATGCTGCTAAGTTTATAAAAATAATATAAATGATTAGAGTAAATTTTTTAACCGTAAGACATTTTCTAAAAATATAATTAATGAATTAAATAAAAAAAAATTCAAATTTTATGTCATAATGTTACTAAATTCTATTTTATAATTCTTACAACTATTTAATAAATACCAAATATATATATTTATAATATAAGATTGTATATAATTTAAAAATAAATTTCATAATTATTTTATAATATTAGCGGTATCAGTGGACTATACATTTGAGTATATTAATTGAAAATCTAGGTTGATTTATGAAATAAAAGATACTTTATGTAGTTATAATGATAAAATATCATAAGTTTACAAATTATAATATGTATTAATTGTAAATGTATGTATTTTATTGTTGTTTGTTCTTCTTTATTCTAGGCAGAGGGGGTAAAGGTGGCGGTGGTAAAGGCGGAGGAAAAGGTGGCAAAGGTGGAAAGGGGGGCGGATGCAAAAAAATGATGATGATGATGTTTATGGGATTAAAGATGAAAATGATGGGTAATTATTAAAATGTAATTTCTATAAGAAATTAATTTATTACAATCCGAGGACCTTTTTTCTGAAATTGCAGGTATGTTCGGTATGGCTGCAATGAAGGGAATGTTAATGTCTGGAATGTCACTCATGCTATCCAAAATGATGCTGCTTCATCAGTTAATGAGTAAAAAGGGAGGTCTTTTTGGTGGTTTTGGTGGTGGTAGCAGCAATGGGATTGGAAACCAAGGTTTGTACGCAATATTAAATTAACTTCTACTCATAAAGCTTGTTTATTAACTTACCTGAAATGCAATTATCGTGCTACTTATGTTGATTGTATAGTAATTATATAGTAATTAATTCTAATAAACTTTAAAAGCAATTATTGCAGTTCTCAAAGAATATATTTATTATCTTAACGTTTTTTTGATAAATAATTGTAAGAAGTACACAATTTGTCTTAAATTATGATTCTCATTCTATTAGTTGAATGAATAATTTTACAAATTTATAATTCATATTATTGATTAATTGTTGAAAAATAATTTTGACTCGATTGCAATTGATGGGTATTATCGATATTTAGAAATAAAAATTATATTTTATCTAAGAAACGAATCAATAAGAATAAAATAAAATTTTAACAACATCATCAATAATAATATTTATAATTTCCTGCTCGTATAAAAATTACTCATTTAATACTGTTAATAAATTATATATTATACATAGACTTAACAATATAAGTAACGGGTTTATGGACGAGAATTAAAAGAACGCTTATTAATCAAACAACAATATTTATTTGTATTGTTAAATGTACATATTTTATATTATAAGATATGTCTAATAACTAGTAATGCGAACTAAGATTATTTTATTGACACTTTTAATAATATTTAAATATACACTTTCAATGTTTCTTTTTTTTCTTTTTTTTTTTTTTTTATAATAATTTTCTAACTCTGTAACTAATGATGACCAAAAAAATGATAACTCTAATTATATTGTATGAAGTCATTACTGCTTAGAATTTAATCCTAAATTAATGAATACAAATAAATAAAGTACATTATGGTCAACAGGTCCATTAAAAGAGATCGTCTTATTAACTAAAGCCGGAGGGAACGGCGGAAGTGGTGGAGGCGGCTGTAACGGAGGTGGATGTGGTGGATTGCCTCCTTCGGATTCTTACGGAGCTCCGCCTGCGAGTGGCGGAGGCGGTAGTGGTGGTTATGATTATTCGGGAGGAGGCGGTAGCGGGGGGGCTGGTTGGGGCAGAAGCTTTAATCAGTGGCCCATATCGTATATTTATCGCGAACAGGATCATAAACCAGCAATTGTGGTGCCCGAGATAGGTAAATCCGTACATGTGTTTATTTAAATATTATAAATATAAATAGTTGAAAAATTTTTATATCCTAATATTGTTGAAAACCAAAGCAATAGTATGTAAATGAAATAATCATATGTATTGGTGTGAAATATATTGATTTTTTGCAATTCTCAATAATAAATATAATAGCTGGTAGATCATTTTTTCTTCTTGGTCTCAATTTAAATAATATATATATATATATATATATATATATACACATAATTGTCACTTGTAATTAATATATAAAACTAAATTTAATATACATCACTTACAATTTATAGACTTACCATTTTATTTCTATGTTTATGTATAGGCTCGATGAATTTATAAAGTTTATAAAGTATTAATAAATCAAAAAAATTGATTCTATTGTTAATCGACCATCTTTTCACAGCGACAAAGGTAGTCACACAAATGACATCAGATTTCGACAATAAATGGGATCAGATGTCTACTGGCAATAATACATTGGAATCAATTTCGAAGCAACTGAAATCTAGTCACGATACGAATAAAAATATAACAACTACTAAAAGTACAGAAGGATTTATTAATGGAAATTATTTACAAACGGGTTATGTTTAGGATGGATAAATTATGATGAATTACGTTAAGAAACAATCAAACTAGTACATCCATAATGTTTATTTATTTATTTATATTTTATTTTATCTATTTAAGTACTAAAAACATTATTTAGATTCAAATAGTCTTAATTATATTTGAAATGTCAAATAATAAGTTAAAACCTATATTGAATTAACATAAGTTGTCTTTTAATTGTAAATAAAATAAAATTTATTTTATTATATTTGTCTATTAACACAGTTGGATAGCTCCTTGTTATTAAAAAATATTTTTACATAAACCGTATTAAGCCATTTCAATATTAATGTGTATAATAAAGTATTATGTAAAGCAATAAATTATTAAATTGTTAATATAGACTTTTATATACCTGAATTATTTACCAGTGACATGTAAAACTTAATACATTATGAAAACATTTATGAAATTAAAAAATTTTATATTTGGATAATTTTCCGTGCCATCTATGACTGAAATTTCAGATTTATCTTATTGTGAAAATGATCACATGTTGATATTAAACATTTCTGCGTTACCGACTGAAGTATATTTATATGAAAATAACTGTCGATATAGACGCAGATCGAATATATAGAAGAGGGAATGTGCGATGAATTCTTCGTTTGCAATTACAGTACTTTCTTTTATTAGCCCAGACACACACACACACACACACACACACACACACACACATATATATATATATATATATATTGATAATCTAGTTTCGTATCAGAATTGCAGGTGAGGTGTAACTCGAATACATCAAAAACAAAAAAGTGATACAGTTTAAAATACCGTGAAAAGATGTGTTTTACTATATTATACGCTATTAATTTATATGTAATGTAATGCTTTGGATACAGCATGAAACGACAACTATTTGATTATATAATTTGAAACACAAAAATGATAGCAAAAATTGTTACGCAAAGAACAATTTGCGTATTAATAATTCTATTTTCATATTTTTCCTACGATAATGTATCATAGAAATATGATATATAACTTTGTAATATGAAATTTATCAAAAATAGGGCGCAATAGATAAAAGTAAATTTAAACTTTAAAAATAAACTTGGGATAATTTAAAAAAAATATTTTTATTTGAAACCTGGGCAAATATGAAAATACATACATCTATGCGAAAAGAATTTATAAATTGCCGAAGATAGATTTAAAAATTATAAAAATGGGTAGGTGTATATGAGAACTGATTGATAGTCGATAAAACGAGCAAATTATTAATGCCACAAACTAAAAAATACTAGCGCCGGTTAGTGAAAGAGTTAATAAAGCGAAGCCAGAAATGTAAATTTGTTTTGTAAATCGTTCTAATAGAGAGCGTTTAGCATCACAGATATATAGGTTACGACTGGTTGAGTACCAATCTAGTATGAAAGTGGTGAAAAAATATTGACGAACGCCATTTAAGTGATAAGAGACAGTTAATTTCTCTTGATTATGATTATATACTAGAATTATTCTATAAAATATGTCCAATAGCCATAATATTAACTATAATATTCATCCGACGTACGTTACAGACTAGGTGAAAGTTATTATTTATATTTATTACAATTTTCAAAAATTATAGGAATTCGTCATTATGAATAAAATTTTTTAATGCATAATTAAGAATTTTTAAGATTTATTAATATTCAGAAATTCATTATAAATAAATAAATTATAAAAATTAACGACATAAGATATTAAGGTTAACGAATAGTTGTGATTGTGTGAGTATCAATGTATGGAAACCAGCAAAACACGGTGCAATTAAATTTGTATTAATAAATATAATATAATTTGCAAAAGTTATCGTGATGAAACTGATAGAGATTAGTTCATTGAAGTTTGCTGAAAACAATTGATAATAAGCTGGTTTATTATTAAATCGACAACACAATTATCAGACACGATATATTCAGAAAAACTATTGAATGCGCTGAACTGCTTGATCGAACTGCTCGTTATAAAGGATATAATGTAAATAATTCTAATATATAAGGATAACGCAGGATATATGCAGGCTTCAGGCTTCGTTATCTAATGGACAACTCCAACGTCAATGCAGACTAAAAATTTTGGAAACCATATCGCGAATGTTTGTTGAAGAAAAATTTTTGGATAAAAATTTCTATAAGAAAAAATTATGATTTTTGAATTTTGAAATTGACACTAGAAGGAACGTATATATGTTATTTTATATTCGCCGGAAATAAATAAAGAAATAATAATAGAAATTTCAAGCTGGTGAATAATTTTATATTAAAACCGTTTATATAACCGATTGTTAACGTTTAAGAATTAAGATATTCTATGTGATTATCTATTATCCTTCTAGAAAATTGCAAGGAAAGTTACTGTATATTTAATAATAATTAGGAAATAAACAAAAGCATGTAGTTATGGTTTACCGTTTGTTCGAGTATTTACTGTACAGAGTGAGAAATTACTTAGTATTTGTTTCTATTTCATTTTCTATTAAATACAAATCTGCTAGAGATACTTTCTTAATGCTTTTAAAATACTTTCTTATAAACACATGATTGTATTCGTATTCATTGTAGGTTGCAATTCACCTGCAGCTTAACAAGTTAAAAATAAATTTAAGAATTTTTTAATCAATAAAAACATCGTATCTTCAAGCGCAAAGGTCTAAATTTACAGTATCGAAGGTGTTAATTCTGAGCAAAAATATAATTCTCGTTTATGATAAGAAAAAGTGTAACATGCATTTTTAAATTACTGGATATAAAAAGTTAATAGAACTCCGATAACGATAGAGAGATATATTTTCTATACTTTCTCAAAGTCATCATCTCAAATATGCAGCGAATTGTGTTCTAAAACTACAATTAGAAAAAATAAATAAGAAAGGAGGTAAGGATGCAAATGATGCAGATCGACACAAAGCCAACAGCTCTCTTTATTAAGTAAGTTACGTGTAATAACTCGTACAACAATAAAGTCGATTCTTTGTTTTGTTTAACGTTAAAACAGTTAAAAATTAATATATTGCTACAAAATATTTACTTAATTATTTTAGTTGCGTGAAAGATAGTATTATGAATTATTTTGAAACAATTTATCGCATTATACATAATAAATTGAAAGAAAATTAGAGTTCAATTACGTACCAGTATTAAGTAACATTAAAATTACTATCTCATATTGTATGTTTCTATTATTACTGCGTATTACTTTCATTTAACGACACTTCAATTCTATATTTAGTTTAACAATTCTGTTGGAAAATGTAGTTTTCCTGCCTCGAACTGCCAATGCTTCAATAGCTTATATTTGCCGCCCGCCCTAGCAAAACCTTGAGAAAGAGATAAGTGAAAGGGCTGTAGAGAATATAGTGCGTTTTCGATAATTATAGTTTATTTATATTTTATTTATAATAACATTATTGATGTGTTGGATGTATTCTACGTTTATATTACAAGGATGCGGTTGCTTGGAACGCTTCTTCTGATGGATGTTTCAGTACACAAGATGCTCCTTGCTGACTATGAATTGTTATTGATTTAATAGGCATCAACAATTGAGTGGCACACTTTTTCTTAACGAGTTTATTTTATATTGTTTAATGATTGCGTCATCCCAGTTGTATTCTCACGGCGATACAGTAGCTTTGATCTGATCCTGTGATGGGTAGTTCACTGTTATCCCAGTCTCGAAAGGGCTGGCGATGACAATGTCGTGATTATTCATATTCCTTTATCGTGGCCGTATTTACTAGTAAGTTAACGAATCTTGCTTTGTTCTTGGCTTCTCACTTACACAGCGCGTGTTTCTGTCTCTTCCCCACTTTTAAGGCCTTTCACTGAGAGTCCCCACTCAAGGAACACCTATGCCTTAGTTTCTCCAATCAAAGCGCACCGCTTCAGGTGGCACGAATGAGCGTCTGCACCTTTGTCTTCCGATTTCAGAAGGAATTAGGCTTTGACAGTGACGATATCGAAAAGAGCGCCTCTAGCGGCCGAGCCTTCAGTCGGGAGGCTCACTCTTCTCTTGGACTTCGCGACGAGGGGAGCTCCTGGACCAGAAGTCGCCGCTTGGCTTGTACAAGCGGCAACATGTGGAATTCATGACAACAATGTATGCGTGATGTCCGTGACATTGTAAATACTGCGTGTTACGACTATTTTCCGATGTCGAATGAACTGGGACTGGGTTTCTAGTTACAATTATCTTTAGGAAATGCTTTTCACATATCTGATACTCTCGAAATATTCTCGCATAAAGAGACTCGCCGCTAGATAATAACAAATGTCGTTTATTGCGCTAAAAACAATGAGCGTGTATGTAGTACGAAGAATTATAGAAGTGACTGTTCAGTTATATTTTCCAGATGTGCTAACTTTTCCGAACCTCCAACGATCGTGGCAGAATTTTCTTACAAATTATGACCCTTGGTATTTTTCATAAAATAATACACGAGAAATAATTCTCTTAATCTCGAACGAAGGGCCTAATGGAAATCATTCGTTCTTGTTCTTGGGATGTTATAATACTAAAAATACGAAGCCAGGCAAGAAGGTTCGGGAGACATGTCAGTTGACAACATCACCAGAGAAGTCATACGTGACAACCACGTATGATAGGTGCGGGATGCCGATAGTTGCTCTCTAAAAGACAGACTATAAAGTTGCTCGATCCTTCGACAAAAGTACGTGAGCTAATGTGCCCTGACTCAATATTTTAGTTGAAAAAATGTTTTTGGGGGGGGGGGGGGGGGTAGGCTCGGGTAATACTCTTAATTTGGTTGTCTTGCTATTTGGTTTAAGCACACTGTGATGTGGCTGATAATATTGGAGCCGATGATTCGATACGGGAGAAATCTTCGTCATGTGCTGAAGATCCTCATATTCCTTCATGAATTGTTGATATAGACTTCGATATTCCTGGTTTCTCCGAAAATATTTCTTTAGCAGGCTCTGTAGACTGCAGGTTGCTGTTTTGAATGTATTACCGAGACGATTGGCAGATGCATTGAGCGGGATTCGAACAGTGTACGTCCCAGAG